TATAATTTAGAATGGATTTCTGAGCTCTGTAATGCAAACAGAATGCTTCTTGAAATCATATGCTATATTTCCAGGGCAAATTCTGAAGCATTGCCAACAAACCCTACAGATCTTTCTCAGAGCAGATTAAGGCTCTTGTTCCCAGCAGATTATTTAGTGTTTTGTCTGACAATGCATTAAACAGATGTAATTCTTAGCTTTACTTCTTTCTTTCACAGCAAATATTGGCTCCCATCACAGCCAATTCTCCTTGTTACCAGGTAATATCAGAGAGATATTTGTGACAGCACTAAGAAAATAACCAATAATCTTTGGCTTGGAACTAAGGACCATGTTGGACAGAAATCAGAGGATAGTGTAGAGAATAAAATGACCTTGATGAAGATAGGTCAGATCTGTTACCAAAGCAATGATAAGAACACACCTTAAGCCTAAAACAAGCAGAAGGCAATGACAATCAGACCTGCAGGATTCTGTAATTGTAGCCATTCTCAATGAAAAGAGTCTTTCCCTTCTTGTGGTATTGGTTCTTGCTCAGATCTACCTACTGGGGCCGAAAGATCAGTGGCAAATTGCACTATCTAAGCAGACTTTCCATTCGCTTGAGAATCATATATAGTACTAATCCTAAAACATCGTTGTAATTCACTTTGTAGCTGTCATACACATGCACCCAGTCAACCTGGATGCAAGATATTTTACTCACAAAATATTCATTACAAGTTTCACAGCTGGCTACTGAAGTTCAGTTTGGATTCAGGAGAAGAGAGATCTGAATTAGTTCCCTTTTCATTTTCAACAGCTCCACTAGGAAAAATATGTGAATGCAGTAGAAAGAAATGCTTCTTTTGTGTATCTGATCAAAGCTTTCAAATGAGGTCTATGTTATGTTTCAAAGAATTAAAGTCCAGTTTTTATCTATTTGTATTTCAGCTATTTAAATGGCTTCCTACTTCAATTCCTGTAATTATTTCATGAGGCCAATCTGAAGCAGATGGTGCTCAACCTGATGCTCAACAGCTATGGCTGTAATGAGATCCCTGATTCTAGTGCTTACTGATGACACAGTTATAATATTGTGCCTACTTATATTGATGGAATTACCAGTGGATCCAACTAAAAACTTTTCAGGATGATTTAGAAGCCTACTACAGCCAATAACCTGTCTGAGATGGTCACTCTAATGGGGCCATCTTTCAGGAGATTGTTAGTTGGATCCACAAGAAAATCTCAGAGCAAGAATGTGAAAGGATGTAGACATATAACTGCTAGTGAAGTCTGATTGTGAGAACAAAAAATAGACAATCCACCACACAGAGGCAACACAGAAAGGGTGTTAGATTTGTAGAAATAAAAGTGGATACTGTTATTCCTCTGGGTAATTGTTATGCAACTTGGTAAGTCTAAACTGTAATTAGCAGTGTTCCTAAAATACAACAAAAGATTGATTCCTAACTGACCTGCTCAAATGTCTATGAAGCTAATGTCTTGGGGAACCTATCAATGTTACATTCAATGTTTACACCTTTAATATGAAGGAATAGCTACTATGACTATGTGTCATCTACCTGCTTGATTGCCAGAAAGATACAATAGATTGATGAACACACGTGCTGTTTCCATGCCTCAATCCGAGAAGCAGGAGTCACTACAACCTGATGATTTCTCTACCATCCTGGCCAAAGAGGGATTCTCGATGAAAAGACAAGTCACATATTCAGCCAGAGACTTAGACATGTGCACAAATTTTGCTGGACATCTGACATCCACCTTGAAGATTCTGTAAAGAAATACACTAAGTTTGAAGTGTATGATTTCCTACGACTGGTACAGAATAAACAACTGAGTTCCAATTCTTCATGAAAGAACTGGGATCAAATGAGAGAGCCTTAATAGTACAACAAAAAGAAATATTTGATGAAACACAGGAAGAACTGGGACAGGATAGCACTCTCTTTATGTTGACTGCTTTAAATTGGGCCTGCCTAGATACTGAGAGCAGCTTCGGTTTAATGTGGGTATGGAGGAAAGCTTCAAGTTAATGATACATTTAATGCTTTCAAACCACAGTCCACCCCCAATCTTCTCCTCTTTCAGAGGAAGCTATGGAGGCACAGCCTATGCAGTCATAGCCACGTAGGAATACCCCCTTCCCTAGGAAATTATATGCTATCTCTCAGTAATCCAAAACTTGTATTGCGAACTGTGTACAGAACTTCATTAAAGTGGCCTAGCCGAATAGACCACCCTGAAAGCGTCAGTGCCTTGCCGCATGTTAATTGTATAGAAGAGAGTTAAGGATAGAAAAGATTAAGGAATCTAATAGCGACAAGAAATTCTCAGAGCATAAATGTGGAGAATATAAACAAGCAATGGATACTAATAATTGACTAAGAGCAGCAAGTTTCTTACACGTATGAAGAGGGTATTGAATCTGAATCAGAAATTATACATTCTGGATCAACTTGCAATATTCAATGATTATCAAGTGGCTGTAATACCTACAAGTCCTAAACTACAGTAAAGATTTTGTTCCTGGACAAGTTATTGAATGTCCTAGTTCAGGGGTGTCAAACAGAAGGCCCGTGGGCCGGATCTGGCCTGCAATGTGATCGGATCCAGCCCATGGGGGCATCCTGGAAAATGTAAGGGGCTGTCATTTTGGCCCAGTCTACCCAATGTGAAGAGGAAACATGCAAGCAGTTTGGGGAGTGGCGTCAAGCTGGCCATGCCTACCCAGTTGGCCACGCCCACCCAGACCCCTGAGATCAACCACAGCCCTGATACAGCCCTCAATGAAAGTCTGACACCCTGTCCTAGTTTATGATTACCTGTCCAATTAATTGTCTTAATTAACTGAAGACACTGGACTTTAACTCTCTGTCTACAATTGTTAATATTCAAACTGATAAACTTTTGAATGTGAATTCTGTTTTATTTTCACTACATAGAATTATTTATCCTATAATTTATCTCCATTCATTTGACTCTTCCTGCAGATCATTACTTACTGATGAAAGTATTAGAATTCTAAATTCACAGAAGAAAGTTAAAAAGTTAGTAAGTGAATAAATAAAAGGCTACCTGCCTACAAGGACAGGGTAGCACTGATCCTGCTCTCCAGCATGCCTAGAGAAAAACGGTGATGGTGTACTGTGGATGGTAGCCCTTGATGTGGCAGAGGACTCACACTTCTAGGTACTAAAAGAGCAGGTTGCGGTGCTTCAAGATAACCGGCCCATGCCCTGTGGCTGTTGTTCAAGCAGCCAAGAGGTGGAGTAGCCTTATTCCCACCACCAGGTTTCCACAAGGCTTGGACTTGGTCCTCAACCCCCATCATACACTTTGGAAGAGCTCTGGAGTTTTTCACAGAGCTGTGCAAACCATGTTACAAAAGCAGAATGGGTTGCTTTGTCACATGGCTGTGTAATACAATTCTGGAAGCACCCACCATTTTCTAAGCAACCACATCCAATGCGCCCACTCAAAAATGGTGGCTGCTTCTCGACTCATCCCAATGGCCACAGGACAAAGCAACCACTTCTGCTTTCCTAACCCAAGTTACAGAGATCTTTGAAAGGTAAGTGAGGAGGAGGATGTGAGGCCTGCTGGGTGTGAAACAGTACCATTTTATAAGACCCATTGTGTCAGTTGCCCTATGGAACAGCCTTGCCCTGGGAGGAAATGGAAGGAATTCCAAATAGGTGCAATTCTGCTGACCTTCCAGAAGGCCATGGAAATCTTGATTTTTCTTTAGGTGTTAGGACCAGGTTGCTAGTGGAGCCTGATATGCATGTTTCCAGGACAGTGAATTGCTTGAGATCCCTTGGCTCTTCATTTTATTATGATTGCTTTTCATTGTATTTTCTGTTCTAATTTTATGCTAGTTTTTGTACTATTATCAACTACCTCAAGTTATTCAGTTAAGATGAGCAGCCACTTAAATATTCCAAATGATTAAGTAAAACAAATCAACTACACCATACCGTTCTAATGTTCTCACAGTGCTGAGATTCTCACACAGGGGGCTTTGAGGGGGAAAACAGAAATACCGTCAAAGTGAAGATATTCTATTTATTCTGCCAACATAAACAACAATGCAGAAAAATAGCGTATGGCAGTACCTGGGAATGCTGAGAGGGATTAACAGGAATTAGAAAATAAATAGGCACTCTTAAGGCAGAGCAAAATATTTGTCAAGTTGTAGAAGTACTCATGTATGGGAATTTTAATAAATATTGGGAACATCCAAAATATTGACTAGAACACACCTTGGCTCCATGCATCACTGAAACAGGGAAGACACTAGTAAACGCTTGCAAATAATTCAGACTTTTGTGCCTGTTAACTTCACCAAAGTTAACTGCAAACAAAATATACACCAATCCTCTTTTTAGGACTTGGGGGAGCGGGGAGGAAGGCAAGAGAAAGCCAAACATTTCAGAGAATGATCTCACACTACAAATATCAGTGAATTCATTTCCAACCAGGTATTTTTAATGACATGGTTTTTCTTCAGTTTAGTGTTATATATTATAGCACTGCATGCTTTCCCCCTCAGCTTTATCAGTAAATTATTGTTTTGTTCAAGAAAGAATTCTCAGACAAGAAATACCACAACCCTAAGTTTCATAAAATTTTGGCATGCAGACAAATCTCACCTGCATATAATGTGAGCCAACTTAAATGTTCCTATCATTTCTTAATGTATGTTTAATATCAAAAAGATTATAAGGTACAACAATTGAAGATATTTGGGAGAAATACAACCTATAACAATTCAAACTATGTTTCAACAGCAGCACTCATTATTTCTTAAATATTCAGACACAGATTCTCTTAAACATTTTCCAAATGTTCAATATTACTACTGGCTATATTTACTATATCCATAAATGGCATTCGTAGATTAATTAACATTACTTTTTTTTTGGGGGGGGGGGTATCAGATACAAAATACAAACACATGGGCTCATTATGTCTGAAATCATTGTACTCACCAGTTGTTTCCACAATGCCCTCTAGGATGACAACAATTTCAAACTGTTCAGTTTGCATGCTTCGCTGAGAAAGGTCATAGAAGGGGCTTTTTGAATCGATCACATGGCAGATTGTAAGTGGCGATACAAGAAAAAGTTGATCCGCCCCTGTGCTAAAACCTACATCCAGTTCAAGTTGATCGAGGGGTAGAAATTCACCTTCAGGAGTTTGCCGAGACTATAAGCAAACATGAAGAAAGAAAAAGAAGTAATAACTAGTATAGTTATTTTCAAGACAATATGACAATAAGTGATATCCATACTACACCATGAATCATCCAAGTCAAATTGCAAACAGTTTAGGCACAAAGTTATTTTATAGAAAAAAGGAAGAAGGCAAAACCTTTTGAGCTCTCCCAGTATTTTCCTACCGGTACTACTAAAAGGTAATTTCTTTTACATGGTTTCCTGCAGACAGCACTTTGTACAAATGGTATCCCTTTCTGGTGGCCTCAATAATATTTATGAAAATGCAGTTGTCTCCCAAAAGGAAACTCACACACAAAAAGTTGTTAATCTACTCTTGACTTAATTAAACTACCATTTGGGTCCAGTTATCTTCAGCAGCTGTGTCAATGAACTAATATACTGTACTATATTATGCTCAAGTGTATCTACATGTATTATTTTATTTATTAAATGTGTTTGTCTTCCATCTCGCTATCACACAACTATTATTATTACTGCATATAAATTTATTGTTGAGCATTGACTAGGATTTTGATCCCATACATTAATTTCTTAGCTAACTGAAGAACTACATAGCCTTTAAATAGTAAATACAAACAACCCTTAAGCAATATTTTGGCTGAATCCTGTGATTTGCTTTCTACAGTCAGAATCTTGAGGCTTGAACTATCATTAGCATTATGTTTTCTGTTAAAATTAGTTTAAATACAAAAATGTTGCCCTTTTTTACTAGAGACTCACTCTTCACATATTCCCAACAAGAAAGTTTCTTGTAACAATAATAATAGTACTTGTGATCCACAAGAAACATATTTTAAAATGCTGTTTATTAAGGTTTGCTGTTCTCATAAAAAGATTCTATGCTACAGAAGGGCAAAGTTTCCCTTCAGTAGCAATAGCACTTAGACTTATATACCACTTTACAGTGCTTTACAGCCCCCTCTAAGTGGTTTACAGAGTCAGCATATTGCCCGCAACAATCTGGGTCCTCGTTTTGCCCACCTTGGAAGGATAGAAGGCTGAGTCAACCTTGAGCCTGGTGAGATTCGATCCGCCAAACTGCAGGCAGCCAGCAGTCAGAAGAACTAGCCTGAAGAACTACATAGCCTTTAAATAGTAATAGCAGTAACAAATAGCAATAACAAAGCCAGGTGTTTTAGAGATTTCTGCCTAGGTTAAGCCTCATAAAGACAACTTTATGTGACTTAGGAGCAGGGGTCTCCAACCTTGGCAACTTTAAGACTTGTGGACTTCAATTCCCAGCAAAGCTGGCTGAGGAACTCTGGGAGTTGAAGTCCACAAGTCTTAAAGTTGCCAAGGTTGGAGACCCCTGACTTAGAGCTATATCCTGGTCTGGGAATATTGAAAGCTAGATCTTATTCACTGGATAATAATGCTAAGTTCTACTAAGTTCTTAACTCACATAAAGCAAGCTGTGAAAATGTGAAAGCTTACCATGATACAATAATTGCATGTGGCCTAACAGCTGAAGCTCAATCCAAAAAAAAAAAAAAGGAATTATTTGATCAGTAAACAACTTAATATTATTGGAAACACAGCCTACGAGACTACAAACTGGGTTTTTTTTCCTACCTAAATCAGCCTATGGAATAGGATCATTCTGAAAGTCTCAACACCTATAGAAACTAACCGGGGTGGGATTCTACCAGTTCGCACCTATTCACTAGAACCAGTTAACATTCTAAGCAGTTTGGAGAACCGGTTGTTAGAAGAAATTACTGGCCTAATCCTGTAAGGAAGGCAGGAAGGAAACATTCTGGTATTGCTTACAGAAACTGCCACTCCGTTAACCCTTATTACATTCTTGGCAGGACTAGACTTCCTGTCTCAGGAACCTCTCTGGAATTTTTTTCCCTCCTTTGCTGGTACTTTGCTTGTGTGGAGTGACCATTCAAAGTTACAATGGCAATGAAAAAAGTGACTTTTTCACGCTTACAACTGTTGTCATGAGAGTCCAGGCAAGGAGATGCGTGCCTCGATGTGAGTGATATTGAGTTGGCCACACCCAGCCAATAACATGACCACCAAGCCATGTCCACCCAGTCACATGATGACCAAGCCACGCCCACCACCTAAGCCACAGCCACAGAACCGGTTGTTAAAATTTTTGAATCCTACCCCTGAAACTCACAAGCTTTATTTTTTATTTCTGATTTAGTGGCTGATCTAAGGAACAAAAAAGTAATCTTATGTGCCAATTAAAACAAAAGTATTAAGACTGAACAAATACGCATGCAAGATTAGATCCAAATACTGGAGTAGTCTCAATATTACGCAAATAAACGTTCATACTATCTTCACCTATATTCTCTCCTACCACATGAAATGCCCCCTCAAAAACCATCTGGAAGTTGTTCCAAGAAAAAGAGAGGGGGGACATCTATTGTACAGACGGATTCGGTTCTTTTAATAAACATAATTACATTTGCAATGGAAGGGTATGTATCTATTCAAAAGGGTAAGCCCGGGTATACAAGTATAGGACTGAAGCTTTAGTCATATCTATAGTAGAGAACACTTGAAATTAATGGTAGGGGTTACTAAAGATTAACGTGCTATTAATGTATAACCATATCTAAATCTGCATTAGTTAAAAATAATTGCCAAAATGACAATTGTGTATGAACCTCAGCTAAAATACAGCTATTTCTTAATTGGACTCGCTTAATGTAATAAACAAAATATGTGCAGAGAAACAACTTTATATTATTTATTGTGGGATAAACTTTTAAAATGTCCAGATACTTACGTATTGGCCAATATTACTGATATATTAAATATACTTATTTGGAACTTAGTTGTTTCAGTAAGAACTCCTAGAAATTATGCTTAGGACAGGAATGGGCTGTAATCTGAATGTTATTCTATAACATTTTGCAGATGAAAAACTCTGCTGTAATAAATTATATGAAATCTGGAATTCCATAAATCTCCAAATACTATCAGAACATTATACATACTGAGGCCTATACTTAAAATATCAAAGTTTTAAATTTTGGCACTCTATGCTGTTGTCAGGAAAGAAAGCCATGAAAGTCACTTAACAGCTTTTATTAAACAGCCTAATAGCAAATACAGCCAGATTAGCATAGTGGCGAAGGCACCTGGCTAGAAACCAGGAGAGTCTGAGATCTAGTTCCAACCTTAGGCATGAAACGAGATGGGTGACCTTGAGCAAGTCACACACTGTCAACTCTAGAAAGAAGACAATGGCAAGCCACTTCTGAAAAACATTGGCAACAAAACAGTAAGGACTAATCCAGGAGATCAATCAATACTGATTTGAAGGCACAAAAAGTAACAAGAACAAACAAAAAAACCCAAACCAGCATCCAGAATAAAATACGAACATGTTTTTATGCCTTTTTATTACATATGTCTACATTAAGTATTTTAAACATGAAATGCTTAAGATATACAGCATTGATTTCAGAGACATCTATAGAATTTTGCTGTTAATTCATTTTGTTTTCAATCTGCATTTCATAGGAAATGAGTATCACAGAATGGCCTATGACGAATGATATTTGATAAGTTAGAGAAAAAAATGTACCTTTCTCGTTAAGAGGAATGGAATATAAGTTGTTCCAAAATATACAGAATTATTACATTTTTAATCTTTTTTTCTCAGGAAAATTATAAAAAATAGCAATTTTAACACTATATTTAAAAAATGTTGAAAAATAATTTAATGCGACCTATGAGTTATCTCTGAAGTTTCTCAGGCTGAAACATTGTTCCGTGATTTCTTCATATATTATATATTAGATTAACTTGTTTTACCCAGAAAAACAAGCTCAGTAACACAACAATCAACTGAGGCAGCTAAGATCATCATGGATAGCTTGTCAAAGGACTAGTGAATTAATTTATCTGCTCCACAGCACATGATATTGTAACTTGTCATCACGGTGCATTTCGCTATTCATTCTGATACTTATTTTATTTTGATTAGTTTTATTGCTTCTGGTATCACTATTTAGTAAGAATAACAGCCTTTATTCTAAATTACTATCTATTATTAATCTTAAACTAATACAGTTAACCAAGAGATAGATTTAATTTACAAAGAAAAAAGAAATACAAATACATGTTAAAATTAGCTCAAAGCTCTTAATTTTATATTAGCTAGTTTTGAAAAATCTTTTCTTCTTCAGTCTTTTTCACATAGTTTTCAGCACTTCAAGACTTTGAAGCCACAGGACAATACTTCATTTTCTCTTTTAAAAAAATCTGTAAATTCAAAAGCTTCAAAGAAATGAATGGCAGCTGCCTTACCAAAATACATATCCAAGTCAATAAGGTCAAGAGGTTTGCAAGAGGATGATTTTCCATAAATGTGCTAGAGTAGTCTTTTCCAGCCTGGGCACTTTCAAACTATATGACTCCAATTTCCAAAATTCCTTAGTCAACATGATCATAGCTCATAATCCTGAGAACTAAAGCCTACACATCTGGAAGGCACCGCAATTTTGGAAGGATAACTTAAACTATATCTCATCCACGCAGGCTGTAAATCTGCATTCTGACATCCAGGAGACAAGATTATCTACTCCTGGAACAAGGATTACCCTGGGTTTTTTAATAGATGAAAAGTTGCTGGACCTATTAGACACAGCTTTAAATAAAAGACTGGATTCAAACTTTAGAAAACATAAACGTGCTATAATTAAAGGAAAAACTATTCACACTGTCCTTTGTCTCTCCATATATTTATTTACAAATATATGGAAAGAGATAGGTTTTGCCTTATCTTATGACTTCTCTTACCACAGTTTGTTAAGTGAATCACTGCAATTGATAAGTTAACCACCCGGTTGTTAAGAGAATCTGGCTTCCCCATTAATTTTGCTTGTCAAAAGGTTGCAAAAGGTTATCACATGACCTTGGGACACGGCAATGGTCATAAGTACGAGCCAGTTGCCAAGCATCTGAATTTTGATCGCATGATCATGGGAATGCTACAAATGTTGTAACTATGAAAAATGGTCATAAGTCACTTTTTTCAGTGCTGTTGTAACTGAGCGGTCGCTAAGTGAACTGTTGTTAAGTTGAGGACTACCTGTACATGCATCACAAACTCCTTAGTTCTTTTTGGTAAGCTTCACCTACCCCCTAAATAAATTCCGCATTTTTTTTTTCAGATTTAGATTTTCCTCTTGCCAAAAGTCAGCCACATATTATGGAATTGTTAGCTTTGATACCCTAATTGTCATCCGTAATTATTTTTCTGAATTGGTATGCTGTACTATAGGAGTAGTTCAGCATTCACAAATCGTAAGCAAGTCATTTTATGCACATGCTGCTTCATGTTAAGGAATATACTTTATATTTTCTAGCTGCATTATATAAAATAGAGGCAGTACATTATGTCATTACTCATTCATAATGCTTTGCGACTAAATCCGTATCTTTCCGTGGTTACATAACAGCATAAGAGAATACACAGAGACTTTTAAAGATACATTTAAATGTGATACTGTTTAAATGATGCATATACATTTTTAAAGTTCTGTAGGGTACAACATTTTCCTGTATAACTGATCACATTTGCCACCTTATTTACTCAATCAAATAAATCACATGTAAAGACATATCAAAGTTATAGAAAAGATCAACTTTATAATGTATAAACCAGTAGGGTAATTAATGTACAATGCAAATTTGATCTGGGGGAAAATAGTTAATTTAAACTTAGGTCTGGGATAAATACTGCAATCTGTTTTTATAATTAGTTGTTACAACCTAATGAAGAAAGTCCATTCCACGGTGCATATATTGGTGCCTTGAAAAGATTAGAATCTTTTCATCTAATCACTAGATGAATACTAATAAGGATATTTCACATATCATTTGTTATCATTTTAAATTAAAAGTACTGATAAAGTTAGTAGTGATGGCTACTATGCACATTAGTGGGATTTCCTTATATAGCATTTATAATAAAATACCTAAAAATTCTAAAAGCAAATATTGTAATACAAAGGACAACAGAATGTTAATTTTTGAACCTCTTTCTGTTGTAAGTGACAAAAAGCTATCTATGCTATCATTCATTAAATATTATTGGAGTTTAGGTAAGGAAAACAAATATCCTTAATTTCTCAAAACAATTTACCTTTATTCAGAAAAATATAAGGTAAACTTTGCTAACTGTATGAGTTCTTGACCAAACTAGTTGTTTATCACACACCACATACATTGTAAATTAATGACTTCCACCTCAGTGTTATATGTCATTATTCACCATAAATCACTAAGCACATTTGGAAGTCAGAGTTAATTATCAAAAAACAAAACTCCTAAATATCTCACTCAAGAAAAAAGGATCAGACAGCCTAGCTGAATATATAATAGAATCTTAAGTTAATGAAGTCAAAGAATTTGCCCTAATTTAAAATAGTAACAATGCATTAAGTATCAACCAGAATTTTTATCATTTCTAAGGGAGTTTCTCTGCATAAGGCAGTATTTTATCTTATTAAAAGAATCTTCCAGTACAAAAATCAGTCTTCAAAAATCAGAAAAACTACAGTAATAACAAGAAAGAGGAAACACCAGGTTCCCCTCAAGGTATTTTTATACTACAATATGAAAACATAATCTATGTGACAAAACTGTAATGCAAATGCATGGTTTTTGTTAGTTCAAACTCTTTTTCCACAGCAGCACATCCACCAGTGTTAACATTAACCATATATAGTCTAAAGCAGTTTGAAGCTGGCATAATTGCAAAGCACAGTCTGGTGTTTCAGAATAAGAGAAGAATTTATCTCCTATGTATCAGCAGGAAGGAGGAGCATATCAACCCACAGAGTTGTCCTCACAACCAGGAGATAAGGCAGCATTGTGTTTCAGCAAAGCTGAAACATGAACTGGCCTTGCTGAGACATTTTACTTTTAAACAGTTTATACCTATGACCTATAACACAAGTTTCAACAGGTGACAGTAATAGATCTGTATAGCACTTTAAATAAACTGTACATAATAGCCACTCAGGAGACTATATCATTTGATCACATTTGGACTAAGAAATCTCAGCAGTCGAAATAATGTTTAATCTTAAAACTTAATGGCTCTTGAAAGAAATATAAGGTCGTGACATCACCATACTGAACCTTAACAAATATATGTAATGTACAGAACTTAAAAGAATTAAGTACTTCAGTCATACTGCCTGCACACTTCATGATCAATATTTCCAATGGAATAACTGAACCTTAAAAAGTCATGTTCATTTAATAAACAGCACCAATCTGTCCACTCTTGAAGGCAATGTCTCTTCTCTTTTATTTATAAAAGGAGATGGATAGAACTATTAAACAGAATTTTGCAAAAAGAAATAAGTACAAGTGGTTTAATCAAGAATTTAAAAAGACAACTTGTGCTGGTAAAATGATTGTACTTCAGACTATAATTCAGAAACCAGAAATATGAAGAAAGCTTTAATTTAAAGGCTGAGGACTATATAAAAAAATTAACTTCAAATCATTAGCAGGTTGAGGAGTTGCTACTGTACTGAAAAAGAAGGGAACTGAGCCACAGATGCAGGAAATCATGATTTTAAAAAGGAAACTAGAGGAGAAGCAATGCAACAGATTAAGGAAAAATGGATCATAGAAAGATGCACATCGGGAGACATTGCCTCATAGGAAATAGCAATGCAAATACTATGAAAATATAAAACTCAAGCACAAGAAATATGCTAAGAGTTCTCTGAAAAATATAGGAAAGAAAATCAAACTTGTCCTTGCGCCCTGTCTCAATCATGGAATTTTGTAGTGTTCCTGACAATTATCCTAGCTTATTCACTTGCGTCTTCTAACGTTTCTATTTAATTTTTATTTAAAAACAAAATGAGGTGGCACTTAGAAAAACACGTACTGTATGTAGTTTGAGTGGAACCCTGTTAAGAAAGGCATGGAAGCATGCACCTTTAAACTGGAAAACAAAAATAAAGAAAAGATATAATAGTCCATATGATTAGAACTGAAGGCAAGAAAGCTTGAACTTACTTTGAGAAGTTTGCAGCGGATCTGTGCAGAAACCATGTGGCTGTTGCGAAGGTTGCCCACCCTGAACATGAGGGTAAGTTTGCCATCCCTCATGGATATGGCAGCATGTTCACTGAACATCAGTGTCTCCGCCCGTTTTTTAGGTTGGGACATCTTGATAAACATACAGCCTATAAGAAAAGCATCCACAATGGAGCCCAAGATGGACTGGAAAAGAAAGAGGATGATTCCCTCCGGGCATTTGTCTGTAATGTATCTGTAGCCATACCCAATAGTAGCCTCTGTCTCTATGAAGAAGAGGAAGGCAGAGGGGAAGTTATAGACGTTGGCAACACACGGGGTATATTTCTCATCGTGGGCTTTGTTCAAGTCACCCCGTATGTAGGCAATGACCCACCACATGGAGGCCATGAAAAGCCAGGCCACAGTGTAGGTGAGGATAAAGATGAAAAGGTTCCAGCGCCACTTGAGGTCCACCAAGGTGGTGAACAAGTCCGACAGATAGCGGCTCGTCTCGCTGCCCAGGTTGCCATGCTGCACGTTACACCTACCATTCTTGTCCACAAACCTCTGGCGCTTTTTCTTGTGGGCCGAGCCCTGCTGCTGGTGGAAGCCCGACCCGCTGGACGAGGTGGTCACTACTTGATAATCGTCCCCAAATTTCCTTCGAAGTGCAGACATAATACCAAGAGGGCAGCCAGGGTCTCCAAGACCAAGAAGGCAGCCAGAGTCTCCAACCTGCAGTGGTTTGCCAGAGGTGAGAAACGGATTACTCTGCTTCCCTTTTCCTTTCTAACCCTTCCCCTCCCTTCGGTTCTCTCTCTCCCTTCTTTCCTCCACCACCCCCTGTCCCCTTCCCTCTTTAACTTTGGAGCTCCCTCCCCCCGGTTTCCAAAATTCGCCTGGTTCTTCGGGGCCACCAGCCTGCTTGCCTTTTGGGCTCGAGAGGGCAGCCTTCCGGGATGCCCCTTCCCACTCGGAGCCAGGACGAGCCCGCGTTAGAGAAGCCCCATTTTCGGCGGTTAACCTTCCCTGGCGCGCCAATCGGCCATCCCTGGAAGTTCAGAAAGGTGGCCCGGAGGAGAAGAGAGGAAAGAAGGCTGGTCGCCGCGCAAAGTAGCCGCAGTCAGTCAGACGGGCAGCAGCCGCCTTCGGGCGCCGATTCCTCTCCTCAGCGAGGAGCGGGCATGGCACAAAGGCATCGCTGGGCAGAGCTCGACGGCGCTCCTTTCTCCTGCCAAGAAGCCCCCAAGAAGAGCCAGCCCAGCGAGCAATTACAGCCCCGGCTCCACCGTAGCGCCCTTCATGCCTCCTAGCCGGCTTCGCGCCTAACCGCAGGCGCCCCCCTTTGACAGCAGCAGCAGCAGCAGCAGCAGCAGCAGGAGGAGGAGGAAGATGCGAAGGAGCCCCCCGAGCTGAGGGAAAGCCGCCGCCAGAGCGTCAACCTTGGGCGGCGAGCGGCTGCCTCATTGCGCCCGAGGACTTACTCGGCGGGTGCGGGTCGGCGTTGGCGCGGCTGGCCCCCGGCGGGCTCCGGGAGAGGGCGTGCATGTGTGTGTGTGTGTGGGGGGGGGAAATCTCCTCAGCCTGCCTTTCAACCACGGCGGGGGACAGCCATGGCTCTTCCGCGGTTTGCCATATCTCGTGGCTTCTTTTGCTGCTATAAATCTCCAAGGGGTAGTTCGATCCCCGGGCGACAAGCCGGTAACTGAGGCGTGGGGGAGAGAGAGAGAGAGAGAGAGAGATCCTTCCTGAGCAGGCTGTGCAATTCTTTCCCCCTTTTTCCCTTCCCGGTTTTTTGTTGTTTTGGTTTGGTTTGTTGTTATTTTTCTCCCCTCCTCCGAGATTAAGAACTAAGAGAAATTGCAGGCATGTAATAATCCACCTTGCTCCTGTGCTCTGCTCTTCAGCCCGAAGGGGACGGCGCTCTCGGGGCAATTTTTCTCCCACACCCCACTTCCCCGTGCTATAAGCGGGAGGCGGGAGTTGGCGACGCTGGTTGGGCGCTGTAGCGAGGCGGGAATAGCGGCAGCTGAAGGCGGCTCAGGGGCCGGGTGTGAGTTAATGCATGCGGTGATCTGCAGACCTTATGTTTCAGCCCCGCCTGTCCCTCGTTTTCTTTACCCGCACCCCGCCTGATTTTGCACCTCCATTTCGCTCTCCAACGCCAACGGCGGCGGCGACAAAGGGTACCGCTACCACAGAGCCAATGAGCCGCGCAAGCCCCTCGGTTGAACACACAGTTTTTTCCCCTTCTCCTCCTTCTTCAGGCGTCGCCATCTCCCCCACATATAGCGACAGCTGCTGCCACTAAGGAGGAGAATGTGCCAGCTCTAATATTACTGCATGTAAGCTTTCAAAAACAACCACAAAACTAACGGACGCTGTCTGGGGCTTTGGTTCGTAAAAGAATTTAGCCCGATATAATAATTGGAGTGGGTGTGGGTTCAAGTCAAATGTTGCCTTAAAAACAGATTCTGCCACTTGGGTTTTGTTTTTTTAATGCTTGAGAAAATAGTCTTTTTTTTCTCTAATCCCATTAAAGGAGGGAGGAAATGCTGCAAATTCTGATAGCGCTGCAGCTGCTGCCCAGCTCCAAATCATAAAAGAATCCTGCTCACCTGTTCCTCTGAAATTGCATAATACCTCTTATCCGCCACACTAAAATGCAGTTAATTTAAGAGAGTGCTGAAATATGGTCTGTGAGATGGAGCATCTGGAATGGAAAGGAAACAAAGTTGGCAGATAGATCCTCACTTCCGCCACAGGTAATTTAAAAAAAAGATGAATGCAAAGGGAAGAATTGGAGGAGACGCCAGCATTGGCAAAAACTTTTGCATTAAACTGAAAACATATGGCGCAACGATAAGTGGTTTCTGGATTTCTTTCAAAAAATTTAACATCTATCAAATATGAATCTTTTTCAGTGCAATTCTCTCTGTGCCTGTGGGACATGCTCCCAAGGAAACACACTGTCATCTTTACTTTAAAAAAAAACTTTCTATCTAAAATTGAAAATTGCTGCATACTCCATTCCCAGTTCTTAAATTAGATACATTTCAGTTTAAAAAATACAGTACAGATATAATCAATGAAAGGTTTACATAATTTGATAGTTATGTTACAGGAAGCATAAAAATACATAAGTGCAAATCATAAACCAACAAAATGTCATCACTCCTCTACAAGAATATTTTTTAAAAATATATCATTCTGCATTTCTTGGGAAATAGGAAACTGTAATAAACATCTATGTAATATTGCCACAGCTGATCTAAATTCAGTTCTAACATACAGAATACAAACTAAATGTTCACAGCATATAAAATGAAACAAGCAGATGTTTTATCAATGAAATGTTTATACGCAGCATCTGCAGACAGTGTCCAATTGTTTGTATATTTGCTGTTCAGAAAACCTATTGAGTTCAATAGGATTTACTTCTAAAAAGTACAGGTATAAAGGAATCTAAGGGAATAGTTGTTGCAGTGAATGCTAATGTATTTGTTTCATATAGATTTACAAGCCATTTCTGTTAAAAATAGAAACTGTGTGGAAATCTGGATCTTATTGACACAAAAGTTCAGAATTGCAATTGATTTAACAAAAATCCAGCTTTTCATATAATTATTCCTACCAAGGTGTAAAATGAGTGTTTACATATTTGCTTAAAGGCAAAACAACTATAAGATTTGTGGAAGCTGTTGAAGTCAGTGATAATGACCTGCTTGTTATATACAGATGATCCTTGTTTAGCAACCACAATTGGGACCAGCAATTCTGTCCTTAAATAAATTATTTCCTTCTATATGGGAAATCATGTGACTGCAACTGTGCTTTCCTTTCCCACTTTTGGAAAGCTCACCCCAGTGCTGGCATAATTAGTAAGAAGACAATCAATTTTTATATTTACATTATTAGAGAAAAAGAGATTACAAGAGAGTAAGCAGGCACCCAATGGGTAATACACATCAAAATGAATGCAATGTTGCTGACAGCCCCAAACATGCTAAGGGCTGGGAGTTGCAAGCACATTGTGCGAACAGTCTGACATATTCCCCATTGTGTTTACTCTTTTGTAATCCCTCTCACTCCAATCTCTGCATTGTGGGGAGAAAAAAACAGGTCAGGCACAGGACAGTGTATTTAGAGTTACCAAATTCTATCTGTATTTTCACTTGAGAAGTAACTGCTACGTTCAACCTAAATGTGATTCCTTTTTAAATCTAGAATCTCTCTCTTTTTTTTTTAGCAAGTTTAGTAGAACTTCAATTTCCTTTCACTAGTTTTTCTGTATGTTCATCTAAGATTATTTTTAATAGAGTTAGAACCACAGACATTTTCTCTTGTGTTTCTGAGAAAAACTTGTATGCAATACAGTGTTATTAATAATGTAATAAAATTGATTTTGCAGTTACACTTCAAGGAATAGTAATTTATTACTCAGTCCATTCAAGTAAATAATAACTGATTAAAGTATAACATATGACTGGATAAAATCTTTTTAAAATCATATATTTTTCTTGTATATGCTAGCAAAAAAAAATGCTAAGCAAAGAAATGGATTTCAAAGCAGAACTGCTTTTGAGAAATCTCACTGGTGAATGGATTGATCCTGAACACCCCAAATATGTGGTTTTGTCAGCAGGCAGTGGGGGCCATCAATAAAGAGGGAGCCAATCAAGTGATTGTTTTTTCTTCCATGAGGGGTGGGACGGGTGCGTTTTTTTACATGACTTTTTATTATATAGTTGGCTTGTTTAAATTTTGTAAGCCATACAGAATCATCTATGTGCATGTTGGATGTATATATAAATTCATGTAATAAATAAAATGAATTACATATTACTACACTTAAATTTTAAATTGCACAGTCATTCTTCTTTTAATTTCTTTGTATTCAAGAAAGTTTAGGCCTTCAGAGTAAATGACAGTGCAGAGGGGGAAATATTTATTTCTATTTTTTTAAAAAAAAATCCAATAAAACAGATTACCATTTAACATTATTTTATTTATATGTGTCAGAATTGTTATTTTGGTTTCTGTAAGTAGGATCTTAGAAATGCACCACTTACTCTGAATTGCTATTGTAATGGCTGTCACAAAGCAATTTCAGAAATAAGTACATCATGCTAAGGAAATGCCTTACTCCGATTTTCTATTCTGTTTCTGGGTTCTTTTGTTAATCTGTTTTATGATGAGTAACAGATTCATAGTCACCAATAACAATGAAATTATTGAAATGAAATTACAGTTAAAGAATTTTATACTAATAGTTCATTAGCTCATTGTCTTCAGATATCTGGACAAGTATTTCCAATTCTAATGGTAATTCCTAAGAGAATGCAGTGTAATATAAAGTAATAAGCTGTTTGACTACAATTTAGCATTGCCATGAACCAAAGAAACTGGCTACTGTTATGAATTAACAGTGACTTGTCATCTGCTCATTTTATGGATACATCAATGGAGTTATCTTGGCAACAGCAGGAAAGTAGTTTGTTTCCTTCTGGGACATATTTTTTACTCCAATTTAGATCCTTCTTAGCTTCCAAGCAAGATAATGCTGCCTGCAGAGACTCACAAAATATAGTGCCATATATAAACACATGATATTGTCTAAAGGAAGACCATTACTTTACCCATTCTTTTTTTATAATATTTGTATAGAACAGTGGTCAGGGAACAGGGGTAAATTACCCCAAATGGGGTAAAAGTGAAAATCTGGGGGTAATGAGGA